TCTTTATAAGTAAAAAGAGAATAAACCTTATTTAAAAGTTTGACGTTCAACACCTCGAATGTTAAAACTGCTCTACAGACTACGTAACGTCTTCTTTTCTTTGTTATAAATCAGAAATTTAAACAGAATGTGATTGGTTAAATTTTATTACAAATTTTTTTATTGGCTCTGAATGCTATAACTATCTCACTCGCTCAAAAGTAAATAAAAGGTTTTTAAATTTAAATTTAAAAATAATGCGAAATTAGGAAAAGAGAGAGAGAGAAAGGGTAGGAAGAAAAACGTGGGAATAAAAAATAAATAAATAAATAGATCGTTTAAAAAAAAGAAAAAGTAATAGAGTAAAAAAAAAAAGATTTTCAAATCACAGCCTTCTTTTTATCGGAAGGGAATTGTACAAACGTATCCGTTTGGCGGCCATTTTTTTTTAGAGTCGTTCGGGGTCTTTTAAATTAAGGGCCCACAAATAAATTTAATCATTATCCGGATTAAATAACCGCATCCGATCAATTTTTAAAACAATTAAAAAAAAAAAAAAATTTTTTTTTCTGTTATTTCAATTCGACATTATTCTCTCTATCTCTCTTTCTCTCACTCGTTTATGAGTTAACCCAGTCTGTACCGAGAACAAACCGACGAATAGAAAATTTTTCTCACGAAAAAAAAAAAAAAAGAAATTTTTTTTTTCCAACTCTTTCCAAATCTTTTTTAAATTCCCGTTAATTTTCTTTTTAAAAGATTAGCCGAGTTTTTTTTTTTTTTTCTAACGAGAAAAGCTTTTATCGGTTAAAAAACCAGAAAATCTTGAATAAACTTTTCCGGATAAACTTTTTTTCTTTCTTTCATTCTTTCTTTTCTTTTAGAGAGAGAAGAAAGAAAGAGAGAGAAAGAAAGAAAGAAAAAAAACTAAGAAATCGGTTCGTTTCCTTTTCACGTCTTCCTTCCCCCCTTCTCGTTCCCTCCCTCCCTACCACCACCACCACCACCATCCGGTTTTATTTCAGATTCTGACAAAAAAAAAAAAAAATGGAGAAGATGAAAAACTCACCCTTCTTGTTGGTCTTTTCGCATGATGTTGCTGCGGTGAATTTGGTTGATTTTGGTCGAATAATTTTCTAAAATATAATTTAAATTCTTCTATTGGTGTGTAACTGTTAACAGCCCACGTGATATTATAACTGTCTTTGTATCGACCCATGGGTTCGCTTCTAAACACTACTTGATTAGGTTTTCCTATATAAAAACAAACAATCATGTCATCGTCTTCATTCAAGAGGGATTTTAAAAACCGGAAATTAAAAAAGGAAAATAAATAAAAACCTGATAACTGAAGGTACTGTCTCATTTTTCCTAATGGATTGTCAGCAACGCAACTATAATTTCCAAAATCTGATGCTTGAACTTTTCGTATGATTAAAGTGTGACGACTTCCTCTAACTTCCATGCTTCTCCTTTCCGTCGTATCCAGTCTCAATGTGTCTCTGTACCACAAAACCTGTTCGAGATACGAAATTGTAGAAATTTTTTAAGAAAATAGATGAGGAGAAAGAAAGAAAGAAACTTACGTCAGCCGGTGGTTCAGAATGTACAATACAAACAAGTTGAGCTTCGAAACCTTCTCCGGAATGTACCCAACTTCTTTCAACTTCTATTTCTGGAGGATCTAAAAAAGAAAAAAAGAAAATTATTTAAAATACTTTAAAATGATAGAACCAAAAAAAAACAAAAAACCTTGTCGTCTGCTTGTAATATCATTAAGAACTCAAACGTTTGTTTGTTTTTTTTCGTACATAAAAACAATGTTACAAAAAAAAAAACAAAACATCGTGTAAGAAATTTTATTTTAAAAGCTTTCGGAAAAATCTTTTTCCGTTTTATTTTTCCATCGGATTTTTTCTTCGATCGAACTACCCGACCCCCCCCTCCCCTCATATTTTTCCGAAAAAGAAAACTAAAACAAAACGTTCAGCCGTGCAAGTAAATTAAAAGAATTTTAAAAAATTATATAAAATTTAGTCGAAACGTAATTGAATCATCTCAAATTTTTTTTGTTCTTTTTCCTTTTATTAAAATTGGCCACGAACGTTTTCCTTCTTCTTCTTCTTCTTCTTTATTTTGTTCTTTTTAATTTGATGAGAAAGGAAAAAAAGGAAAAAAAAAAAGGGCGGCGATATGAATTTACAAAATACAATTACGACAAAGGAAAAGAATTGCTGTTGTTGCTTTTGTTGTTACTTTTCTTTTCAACTCATTTCCTTTTTTTATTAATAATAATAATAATAATAATAATAATAATAATAATAATAATAATAATAATAATAATAATGACGAGAGTGTGAAATAATTAATAATAATATTAACAACCGATAAATAAATGTCTTTATTGCACGTAAGCAAAAAAAAAAAAAAATTATAAACGCGGACGCCATTTTTTATTCCTTCTTATTTTTTTTTGTATAATAAAAAAATTTCTTATTTAGAAAATTTAAGCGTCAGGTGCTTAAAAGCTTTTTCTATTGCTTTTCTTTATTTCAAAAAAAAAAAAAAAATTCTTTTTATTCTTTCCTTTCCTTTCTTTTCTCCTCTCATTCTAACACTTTTTAACTCTCTCTTTCTCTCTCTCTGGGGGTGAGGTAAAGGAATAATTTTTATCACGTCTTCAACGTATGTAAACACTAATTATTATTATTATTATTACACGATCGACGAATCGAACGTATTTAAAACAGGATCCCTTTTTCGCTTAAAAAGTTTTTTTATTTTCCCCTTTAAATCGAAAAAAAAAAATTTTAATTTCACGTGTCTTTCTTCCTTCGTTCCCCCTCACCACCATCACCACCCCCATCGCTCCCCATAGCTCCCCAACAATCACGAAAACATCCCGCTAACACACGCAGGAAAAAAAAATTAAAAAAAGCGTAGACAAAAAGATTTGATGAAGTCACAGATGGCAGTTGCGTTAGTTCCGTTCATCGAATGAAAAAAAAAAAAGGCAAAAAAAACCTTTTTATATATATAACCTTTTTGTTGAAACCTTTTTATATTTTTTTTTTTAAAAAAAAAAAAAAAGATAATGATAATAAAAATAATATAAAATAAAAAAAAAACTGAAAAATTTACATTTTAAATTTTTTAATATTTCAAATTTAAAAAAAAAAAAAAAAATGAATTGACTTAAAATTTAATTAAAAAAAAAAAAAAATTTTTTTTTTCATAACTGGAACGTAAAATTTTATCCAGCCGAAAAAAAACCTATTCTAAGAAAAAGAAAATTTATTTATTTAATTTTTTTTTTTATTTTTCTACTGCCACGAAGGTAAAAAAAAAATAAAAAAGAAGATGAAAGGATGCGTAAAAAAACGTAAAAAGAATTAGAAAAAAATGATTTTGTGTTCCACGGTGTGTGTGCGTGTGTGTGGGTGAGGGTAGGGAAGAAGTAAGTCAGGTGTAAGGGTTACGCAAAATGAAATTTTTTTTTCCCGAGAAAAATCACGTGACTATCAATACAAACACATCCGCATCCGCATCCCTTTTTCTGCGAAATGAAAAACTTTCGTTAAATTTTAAATCTTGTATCGAAGAAAAATTTTTACAAAAAAAAAAAAAAGGAAAATGAACAAACAAACAACAAGGTGATAGAAGTAGTAGTAAAAAGGAGATGGAGGGAGGGGAAAGGAAAAAAAAAAAAATTTTCTTTTACTTCCGGTTATACAAAAAAAAAAAAAAAAAATTGAAAACTTTTAAAATTTAAAAAACGAATGAGATGATAAATAGATAGATAGATAAATTCACTGGTGTGAAAAATTAAGAGCTTTTATGTTTAGGATTAGTTTTTTTTCGAAAACGTATAAAGGTGCGTATTGTGCGTAGGACGTGTGTGTAAGTGTGTGAGTGAGTGCGTGCGTGCGTGTGTGCGAAAAAGGGGGTTTTTGACAACATTTCTAATCAACTCTTTGCGATAAGTGGTTCTCTTCTCTTTCCTATTTAATAAATTTTCATTTCTCTGTCTCTCTCTCTCTCTCTCTCTCGACATTTTCCCGTAATACATTTGAATTCTTTTCTTTCATTTGTTAAAAAACAAACATGGACGACGATTTGCACGTGACATACGTCATTTATATTTCAACAAAAAACTTTTTAAAATTAAAATTTTAAGTTTAAAAAACTCGTTGATTATTTTCACTTGAACGATTTCATCAATATAATAAAGTTTTCAATCGAATGAAAAATGATTTTAACTCACAAAAATATTTTTTTGTTTAACTTAACCGGATATTAATTTGACCGGAAGTAAATAATTATCCTAATTTCAAAACCGGATATCTTTAAAAAAATCGAAAAATATTTTTTTGTAAATAAATTTCTCTTTCACGGAAAAATATTTTTTGTCTCCCTTCTTCCTTTTCCCATTATTATTATTATTATCGTTATCATTATTATTATTATTTTCTCAAGTGGAGTTTTAAAGAGAAAATACAATTTTACCAACTTGATAAACTCGAAAATCCCGTCCCAAAATCATAATAAATCAATTAGAAAAAAAAAAAAAGAAAAACATTTTAAATGAATATTACACAAAAGGAAAATTTCACATAAATAAATAAATTCTTATTTTGTATAAATAATAATGATAATAATAATAATTTAAATTTATTAAACAATAAATAATGATGATGATGATTATTATTATTATTATTATTAAAACTTTATTTATAATAATTAATAGTCAAATAAATTAAAGATAAACAAACAAACAAACAAAAAATTATTAAGTAGATAAAACGCGTGAGAGAGAGAAACGGGGAGGGGGGGAAAAAAAGTTAAAAAACAATTTTAATACGTTTATATTAATTTAAATTGATTGATTGATTGATTGATAACACGACGATAAAAGCATCATGTTTTTCAATTTGTAACGACATTATAAACGCTTTTAAAAAACAAAAAACGCACATTAAAAATAATAAACTTTTTTTCTCGCATTTGTTTTTAATTTTCATTATTATTATTATTTAATCATTTTTCATTAACATCAAAAAAAAATTTTGTTCTCATCCCTTTTTATAAACGTTGTTGTGTAACTAACTAACCGTCGTCGGATAATTTAACAGAACAAACGATTTTTTTTTGGTTAAAACCACTTTCAAAATCAATTAGAAATTTTCTTAAATTTTCTATTTAAAAAAAAAAAAGTTTATTTATATCGTTAACTATACATATATTTAAAAAGACGTGGTAGAAAGAGAGAGAGAGAGAGATGGGATGAATAAAAATAATTGTTAAGAGAGAGAGAGTGGGGGGGGGGTAAAATCTTATTTAAAAAATCATCGAACCGTACAAACCAAAATCTATTTAAATACAAAAAAAAAAAAAGATGAAAGAAAAAGGAAAATTTTAAGTGAAAATAGTTTTTTTTTAAAAATACAACCGTGTAAAAGGTTGCTGAATCAATGTTTTGACTATCTATCTATCTATTTCCACGATTTTACCAAGTTCGGTTAAAGCATTCGTGAATATTCATATCATGTGTATCGAAGTGTAATTTTCTCGGGTTATTATGTTTATTCCACGCTAAGATTAAATCTCCGATTTAATAGGAAAAACAACATCAAACAAACGCATTTCCCCATCTCTTTTTAATATATATATATTTATAGCCTCTTTAATATCATCATTATTATTTTTTACCACCACGTGATTACGCGAAAATAAATAAATAAACTTACATAAAACGTGTAAAACAATCGATTGTTCGACTGGTTTTCCAACACCGTTCGATGCTTTACATTGATAAACTCCAGCTTGATGTCTCGTAGCTTGTTCGATTGTTATACTGTAACCCTCGACTGATTTTTCTCCAGAAGGTAGTAAATTATTCTATAAAAAAAAAAACAAAAGAATAATAATAATAATAATAATAATAATAATAATAAACAACGACAACGACGACAACAACAACGTCGTTATTATTATTATTTGTTAAGAATTGTTGTTGTTGTTTTTGATTATTTAAACAAACATGTCGTCGTCGTCGTATGTAGTTTTTAAGACAAACGTATGTTTTCAAATAATAATAATAATAATAATAATAATAATAATAATAATAATATTAAATAAATTAATAAGAAAATAATATACAAAAGAAAATCTCATTAGCGTTTTCTTTACAAAAAGGAAAATTTAAAAAAAAAAAAAAAAAAAAAAAAAAAAAAGAAAAGCATAAAACGAGAATAAGAAAATCACGTTTTCTTATTTTCCCTTTTTTCCTTGACATTTTTCCCGAGGCGTTCGATGTGTTTTAGGGTTGTATACCCCAGAAAATATGTTTCAAAACGTAACAATTTTTGTTTCTTTTTTTTTTTTCAACCAAAAGGGATTTCTTTTCCCGGTAACAAACAAACAAACAAACAAAGAAAGAAACAAAACACAAAAGAATTTTTTTTTTAAATTTACTTTCCGATAAATATTTCAAAAATATTATTTTTTATTAAATTTTCATCAATTATGTATCTCACAAAATAAATAATAATTATTATTATTAATAATTTCAAAAAAATAAATAATAATAATAAAATCACGACGACGTGGAATTAGAAAAAACGAAACGATTATTTCGATTGCTACAAATTTTTTTCCTGTTTTTTCTTTCCTATTTGAATTTTCTTTATAAAAATTTTACAAAAAAAAAATTACGTCATTTATTACGATAATAATTTTTATCATCATCATCATCATCATCATCATTATCATTATTATTATTATTAATGTATGTTTCCTTTGAAAAACGGTTAAAGTATTATCAGTGATGTAATTTCTAATTGTCGTCGTCATCATCGTATTAAAAAAAACATTCCGTAAGTAACGCGAAAAAAAAAAATTTGTGGAACACGACAGAAAGGGGGTGTGGGAAAAAGGAGGAGGAGGGGGAAGCGGAAAAAAATAAAAAAAAGGTTTTAAAGACTCTTAAATCAAATGATATCGATGATAAAATTACGTGACACAAAAACATAACCCCCAAAGGAAAACAAAGTAAATCATTGACCGAACCCGAATATTGGGTTTTTTTTTTTTTTTTTTTTTTTTTTTTATAAGCTTTTAAACGTTTTGGTCAAAGAGAGAGAGAGAGATAGAGTAATAAATAACAAAAAATAATGATAATTCAATAAAGTGTCATTAGATAATGATGACATGACAATAACAAAACGAAACAAAATTTTTAAATTTCAAATTAAAAAAAAAAAAATAGGTTTAAAACTTTTCGGAAAATACTTTTTTTGTTTTATCCTACCCTACCCCCCTCACCCCCCCCGAATTTCGGTTTTTTAACTTAATATTCAAAAAAAAGAGAGAAAGAAAGAAAGAAAGAAAAAAAGGAAAAGTTTCAGTTAAAACGGATTAGAAGAAAAAAAAAACATGACATTCTTCCTAAAATTTTAAAACGATTAATCCCACGTTTAAAAAAAAAAATTAAAAATTTCAAGCGCCCACGCGCGCGAATTTAAATTTCCCGCCAAAATTAAACAAAAAAAATTAAATGACTTCGAGGTTAATTTTTAAGGGTCGTATGTGTGATTACGGTTACTCGGCTAAATAAAATTTATTTTTATATAAACTCGACATTTTGAATAATTTTAATTACCTGTCATATCAAAGGGAGTGAAAAAAAAAATTTATTTTCTTATTTAAAATGAATTATTATTATTATTATTATCGTTCAAAAATTATATTAATACATATATATAATAATAATATAAATTTATGTATGTATTTTTTTTTTTACATAAATTTATTGCTTCACGAATTTATAATTTAAAAAAAGAAAAAATAATAAATTTTATAATTTGTTTAAAAATGGTGGAAACGACGACAGGGAAAAAATTTCCCTGATATTTTTTTTAAAAATTATTTTACCGCGCTTTTTGCCTCTGGTAAAACAATAAACAATCAAATCAATTTTAAAACGGATATGAAGATATCGAAACGATTCGAAGGGAAGTGAAAAGGATGAAAATGAAAAAGGGGGAGGGGGAAAAAAAGATGGCGAACCTGGAGGAGGTAGAGAGTGGGGAGAAGAGGGGGAGAGAGAAAAAAAATGTTTTTCGAAATATCGTCGAATGGGGTTATTCGAGAAAAAAAAAAACACCGTGAATTTTTTCTCACGGTGATTCCTGGAGAGAGAGAGAGAGAGAGAAAAAAAAACCCAATTTCAAATGGAGAAAAATAAAATGTGAAGAAGAAGGGAAAAGGGAGGTAAAAGGATAAAAGGGGTCGAAGGTTAAGGAAAGGGCATTAAAAAAAAAAAAACCTCTTGAGCGTACGTACAGATTTCGAAAATATTAAAAGTGCTAAAAGGTTTTTTCCTGTCGCAACTGAAAAAACCTTCCCCTCATCCACCCAATTGTCCCCCGGAAAATTGATTTGGATTCAAAAAAAAAAAATTCTCACGCTTATTTAAAAAAAAAATCCAAAACTGGAAATGATTATTTACACACAAAAAAAAATTAACGACAGCAAATAAATAACGTAAATAAAATCTCCCGGAAAGAAAGGAAAAATCGGGAAGGAGAGGGGGAGGGGGGAAATATTATTTAATAAAAAAAAAATTTTTCTCTTTTTCTCCCTTGACCTCACATGACCTCGCATCAAATTTTCATTTTTTCGAATATTTTAAATACAAACTTTCGTTGACTATATATACACATAGTAAAAAAATTGTAAATAATAATGATAATAATATTCGTTTAATCCCGTAGATTTTAATCTCGTTTATAATCTTAATCATTATCCCTTTTCCCCTCTCCCTCTCCCGTTTCCCCCTCATATTACTCGTTTATTAATATTTAACCACCTGTAACGGATGACTTGATTTCACAGTCTCGCTCAACCGATGATGACATGAAAATTTTCCAAAAATTTCTCATTAAATTACATTTACGCTATTATTTATTATTAAAATCCTTATTAATTCTATAAAATTTGTGGCGGAATACGTGAATCAACTCCTTAAATAATAATCATAATAATATTAATATTTCTCTCTCTCTCCCTCTCTCCTCTTTCCCTTTCCTCTCTTTTTTCTCATAATTTATTACATTCACTTTTTCGCGTGACACGTACAAACAGCGAACAGCAAAACAGCAAAAAAAAAAAAATTAAATTTTGTTAAAAGAAATAAGAAAGAGAGTGAGAGGGTGAGTGAGAGTGAGAGAGAGAGAGAGAAAGAGAGAGAAACGAATAACATCTCGTACCATAAATATTTACGAGTATTTTATAAATAATTTATATAATGATAATATTTTATAGAGGTGCGTCGTAGAGGTAATTAGATTTTTTTTTTGCCCCCCCCCCATCCCATTTAAAAACGGAAATGACGTAACAAAAAGTGACACGTCATCACGAATTAACAAGGTACGTATGTGGTAAAAATAATTTAAAGTCAAAATTTAAATATAAAGTTTGATTATTAAAAAAAGTTCGGTCGGTAATTTTTTTTCATTCATTCATTCGATGATTTAATGCGTTTTTTTTTTTTTTACGAAAAGGAAAAAAGGAGTGACGACATATAAATAATAATAATAATAATAGAATTCAATTTTTTTTTTTTAAATCAGTAGAGAGAGAGAGGAAAAAGAAATTCGTTTGACGAAAAACGAATTATGAACAAAACGAATGAAGTTATACACAAAAAAAAGATTAAAAATAAGTAGAAGGAGGAGGAGGAGGAAGAGGAGGGAAGGGAAAAAATCCATAAAATATTTTTGGAAAAGAAACAAAATTACGTTTTTGAAAAAGAAGAAAAAGAAGGGAAGGAAGAAAAAGAAGAGAAGGAAGAAAAAGAAGAGAAAAAAAAGTCAATTCTTTTTCTCTATTTGACATTTCAATCTTCCAGAAAAAAAAAAAAAATTTTTTTTCCATTCTTTCTTCCTTTCTTTCTTTCACTTTTCCAGATTCCTAATCTCCGTGACCCTTTTTTTCCCTCCCCTTCCTCCCTTCCTCCTTTTTTCCCTCCCTTCCTCCTTTTTTCCCTCCCCTTCCTCCTTTCCTTTTTTTTCTCCCTCCCGATCTTCTTAAAATGACCAACTGGAGAAGAAATGCATTCATTCATTCATTCATTCACGGATGGATGGGAAGAGGACAGAAAAAAAAAAAATTGACTTTTTCTTTTTTTTAAAAGTGTCAATAGAAAAACATTTTCATAAGTGATAATAATAACGATTTTTTTTTTTTAAATAAATATTTTCCGAAAATAAAATCAAACGATCGCTTACTAATAATAATAATAATAATAATTTTTAAAAAATCAATAAATAAATTGTTTGAAAAAAAAAACAAAAAAAAAAAATTTTAATTTTAATAAATTCAATATGGTCGACGATGACGTCATTTTAATTTTCAATTTTATTAATGAATTTATTGATTTTCTTTTCCATTCCATTTCCGGATTATTTTGGTTATTATCGATAATCGATTAAATAGATCGCATTTTCTCTTTCTCTCTCTCTCTCTCTCTCTCTCTGTCATACACCTATCGAAAAGGATTTTAAAATTTATTTACGTAAATTAATTATTTTTGTTTTTTTTTTTTCGGGAAATTTCGAAACATGTTTTTTCTCCAGTTTTAATTTTTATTACAAAAGACGACAACGACGACGACGACGACGTCAAAGATTAATCACCGGATGTGCTGGAAATATCAGACGATGGAATTTGTTAACGTGTCCAATGTAAAAATTGAAAAAAAAAAGGAAAACAATTCGGAAAATTTTATTATTATTATTATTATTATTATTATTATTATTATTATTATTATTATGGAATCGATTTGATAATGATAAAAAAAATTTTAATTCGGTTTTTTTATTGGGGGGAGGGAAGGGCAGAGGGTGAAGACAGGGGAAGGAAAATAATCGGAAAATCGGTAGCGGAAACGTGAAAGTGTTTTGTAAATTTTCATCATGTTTAAAAATTAAAGAAAATAATAATAATAATAATAATAATAAAGGATTAAAAGTAAATTTTTTTGATAATATTTACTTAAAATATTTATGTTTATTTAAAAAATGGAAAAAGAGAGAGAGAGAGATAGAAAATAAAAGGAAAATTTCAAATCTCAAAATATTTTTCCGAAAAAAAAAAGGAAAAATTATATTGAAAGGTTTCCTTTCCTTTTTTTAAAGTCAATAAAATTGAAAACATATTCAAATTATACTTAAGTAAAAAAAAAAAAAAAAAAAATTTTTTTTTATGAGTAGGAGGAGTGGGAGGAAAAGGAATAGCAGCGGCAGCAGCAACAGCAGCAGCAGCAATAGCAATTCCATTAAAAACTTTTTTTTTCCTTTCCTTTCCTTTCTTGCGAAAAATAAAAAAAAGCGGGGAAAAGAGAAGAAGAAAAAAAAATTTTTTTTTTTTTTCTAGTTTTCTTGTCATTTCCGCGTTGAACCGTTAAAAAAGGAAGAGCAAATGTTGACAACCTGTCAAAGAATACAAACACAAACACAAACACAAAACATTTATATCGATAACAAAAAAAAACCGAGAAATAAAAAAAAAAAAAAAAAAATAGAAAAAAATTCTACGAGATTATATACGGGTATTAACTAAAATAAAAGAAAAGTGAAAAATAAACTGGAGAAAGAAAGAAAGAAAATGTTGAAGATTGAGAGAGAGAGAGAGAGAAACTTAATACGAAAAAAAAAATTCTTATTAACTTATTCGGACTACAACATTATATTCGACTTCATTTTATAAATGATAATAATAATAATAATAAACTATAAATGTTTAAATTAGTATAATTTTTTTTTTCATTTTCTCTCTCTCTCTCTTTAAAAAAAAAAACCATTTTTTGTCTCTTTCTAACATTTCATTTTGTTTCGTGCAGGTTTAAAATTTCATTTTGTATTAGTTTTAAAATTATTTTTTTTTTTTTGACGTCCATATTTCTTTTTTTTTTTTTTTTGTAAATAAAAAAAAAAATCTTACGAAAACGTTTGGAGTGATAATAATGATGATGATAATAATGATAATAAACGTCAAATCGTAAAAAAAAAATAAAATAAAATTTTAAATAATAGAAATTTTCATATTTAAAATGTTATTTTCCGATCGAAGAAAAAGTTCGAACGAGAGTTTGTTTGAACGTCATTTCCGGTATTTATTATTAAACGTCAAATTTTTTCCTCCTCTTCCCCTCTCTCTGCCCCCTTTTTTTTTTATTATTAATAGTTAATTTTCGCATGAATGCACAAAAATTTTAGAAAATAGGCGGAGTAGTGGGGGGAGTAACGGGGAGGCGGTACTAATAGGAGGACCAAGAACTAAGAAAAAAAAAATTTTTTTAAATTTCTTTTTGTCCTCGTGGCATCACGTGATTGATATAATTTAAAAAAAAAAAATGGCGGATTTTATTAAATTTTTTTTTCTTTAATCTTGGTCGAATCGCCCCAGAAAATTTTTTTTTTTTGTTTTGTTTTTCATGTCAAAGACTTTGATAAAAAAAATAATAATAAAAATAATAACTAAAATTCAACCGATACCAAAAAAAAAAAAAAAAAAATTTGGTAAATTTAATAAGAAAAACCAAAAGAAAATACTTATAGATATATAATATATATAAAATTTTTTCCCTTTTTTTTTCTTCGACCTTTTTTTCTCTCCGTTTTATTTTTATATATTTTTTTTTGCTAGTGAATTTGTTTTTCAATAAATTTTATATAGGTCTTAATATCGGTCCAACAAACTGTCATTTTCAGAGAAAAAAACAAACAAAAACAAACCCAAAATGAATTTTCTTACTATTTACGATCAACCATTCAACCGAAAAAGAAAAAGAAAAAGAAAAGAAAAAAAAGAAAAAAGTTTTTCTTTTATTTTTTTCGTACCTATTTTTTTTTTTTTCATTAATCCAATCCAATCAATCAATCAATCATTCAATCATTCATTCAATCGTTTAAAAATGACGATTTTTAAGCTTACGGAAATGTGATTAAGGATATAATTACAAACAAAAAAAATTCACATCGTTTGTTTCGAAATAATAAAAAAAAAGAAAAAAAAATATTTTTTATACGGCACGTGTTTGTTTGTTTGTTTGTTTGTTATTCTCTTATGCTGTCGTTTGTTTGTCACACTTTAATTTAAATTCATATGTAACAAAAAGGGAAACTTTTTTTTTTTTTTTAGTGACGAATGAATTATTTCTACCATCTGCCATACCTTTCTTGTCCACGTTATAACCGGAACTGGATTACCGGAAGCTCGGCATTCTAATGTAACGGAAGCTCCTCTTTTAACTTCCATAACTCCTTGCGATGATACATGATGAATCCTCGGAGGCACTTTAAATAAAAAAAAACATCGTTTTAATAATAAATAACCAAAAAAAAAATTTTTTTTCTATCTTCCCTTTCCTCTCCCTCCTCATTTCAAAATCAATTAATCGAATCCTCGATTCGCTACTACTAATAATAATAATAAATCCTTTGAAATTACTTTTAATTTTTTTTTTCTTCCCCGCCCAAAAAATCTTTTCGATTAAAACTTTAAAATTTCACGATTGATTGTTTTTTATTTATTATTATTATTATTATCATCATCATCATCATTTTTTTTTTTTTTTGAATTAATTCGACGTGTCCAAAGAAAACAAATTAAATTATTTTTATTATTATTATTATCATTGAAAAGATTTATAAAAATTTATTTATTTTATTTTATTTATCGTTCGGTTGGGTTTTCTATTATTATCATTATTATTATCATTATTATTAATTTCGAGTTTAACGAACGTCTTATTGAATTATTGATTTTTTTTTTTCATTTAGAAAAGAAAAAACGTTTTAATTTAAAAATGAAAAAAAAAAAATAATGAGATACAATTTAAATTCTAAAATCGAAGGATTTCAAATTGAAATTATTTAAATTGTTTGAATCACGTCGATTTTCTAGAATAATATTCTTCAAAAACAACAACAACAACAACAAACAAAATATTTATAAAATTAAAAAAAAAAAAAGAAAAAAAATTAAAATGAAGTTTTTTTTTTGATGCTCATTAGTTTTTGTTTGTTTGTTTTCAATTTCAAAACAAAAACAATTTTTTTTCTTTTTTGTTCGAACTAACTGATTAATGTCGTCGATTGAATGTGACACGTTCTTTTTTTTATCAATTACAAACGGTAAATATTTTACAGGTGTGTGCGTGTGCGCGTACGCAAATGACAAAAATATATGTAATGACGAAATTTGAAATTTTTTTCTTTGGCGGGAAAAAAAAGTGACGGGATTTCAAACGACAAGCGACTACGCTTAAAATTTACTTATTGTTTTTGTCACGTGTGAAATGACGTCATGTTATTAAAAAGCAGACGAAAATAATTATATATTAATTATATTTTGCGTATAAAATTAAACGATGAA